CTATCTCCGGTAAAACCCTGGCTGTCTTTGACGATACTTGCCCCATCGCTTGCTGTAGAATTGAGTCGTTCCAGGGTAGTCCTCCGACTCCTCGAGCCTGACGTTCCGAGTCTTCTGCAGCTGGGACCCATCTTTCACTTTGACCTTCCACTTGAGAGGAACCTCTAGGCCCTCCAACCACGTGCACCTGGCACGAGACAGGATTTCAGGGAAAGCTCCGGAGATGCCCCTTCCTTCTATAACTCGATCTTGATGAGAGTTCGGACAGTGAATGTACGCCTGAAAAGAAATATCAGTCATTTATCATGTGCGTATTTCACTGGAAAAAATTCACTAGTCGACATGGAGCGCCTCGGAGTGCATCCTGAGAGATCCCTCCTCCCTGAATTGGTTCCGCGGCTTCACGATGTACGCAAGGCTAACTCTGAAAGGTTCTCCGACTCTTGCGGACTAGGAGCGACACAACGGATTCAGAATCGGTAACATGAATTTCAGGTTGAGTCGAAAGATCCTCCATGCTGAGTGCAGAAAATTGTTGAAGCGCTACGGGATAGGGACGGTGCTGAAGATATAGACCTCAATATAGCCGAAGCAGCGGTAGTGATTGGAATAATTGGACCGGCGACATTGGCATTATCGAGATCACGCCGTCTAGCCTATAAACGAGCGGGTTAAGCAAAGGCTAGCACAACGGAACATTTGGCACACTCACATGAATGATCCAACTTGAGACTTGGCTCATTGAAAGGCCAGTGGCATCACAAATTTGCCTTTGCTCTTGCTCGCTTGGATAAAGGCCAGGGTGACGATGAAGCCAACCATCCAAAAATGCTGGAATATCCTCCGGCGGCAGTATTCTCGAACCCACTTTACTCGGCTCTATCAGTGGTGCCGCAGACCCTGAATCGTCTCTTCGAATGGGGGTGAGCAAAGCGCGCGTGTATACTTGTTTGTCTGCACGGGGACCATCCCACTGACCGCCTCGGAAAACTTCTTCTTCTGCACTGTCACTCCGGGATTCCAACTCACTAGGCAAGTCATCGTCCTCAAACTCCCCCAGGTCAGAGTAATATACCGAACTAGCAGGGGACGTAGATGGCTTTCGCCTTAGCTCCTGCGCCTCGGGGAGCCCGGCCGGCTTTTCCTCTGCCTGCTGAGTGGTCCGGTGCATGGTCAGTTCTTGAGCTTTGGAACCCGATCCGCTAGAAGACGCGAGACCCCATTTGAACGTGCGGAGTTGCTAGGAGGTTTAACAGAACTTTAACGCACGAAACTTGAGAGCAGGAACGATTAAGAACTCACTTTTTTGACCTGAGCCTTGGGTTTCAGACTGGTGTCAGGCAAGGGTTGTCTCTAAGGACCAGGGACGATTAGACTTGAGGACCTCCGATACTCTAGCGATCACAGTTTACATACCTGAGGCTTGAGGATACTGTCGGTAGTGCTTGGACTCGGATCCGCTGGAGGAGAAAAGCGCAGTTCTGGATCCGGAATTTTCTGAGTAGATTGCGGACCCAGTGGAAGCTATGGATGGATCATATAGATTTCTAGGAATCGACGAGACACGTAATACATGCCTTCTGTGAAATATCAACTCTTCCTTTTAGTTTTGTCAGTGACTCGTCGTTGGTAATCCCCATCCGAGAAACTGTTACACCTTTAGCGCTTCGCCGGAGGGTGTTCTGCATCACGATCGGAGGCCTTGGTTTGCTATCGTTGCTATCAGGATTTTCCCGTACGACTGGCGGGATAGACTGAGGCAGGAGGAGTGCATTAGTGAATTCCGATGCAGCTGGATAAGAAAAAAGGAGTGCACGTACTTTTACAATCACCGGTCTTGTTAGCAGTGGCTCTGGCGCTTGAATTGAAGAGGGATGTCTTGCTAGTATTAACGAATCCTGAAGTCTGCCATCCAGATCCGAATCTAGTGCTTGTAGTTGTCGCGTGGTGTCATGGTGGTCGCCGTCGCCATAGTCGCTTTGAGTTTTCCATTACCATTGGTAAGGAACAAATCGCTATCCAACTTGGTATTTGTTGGCTTCGTAGAGCCTAGTCCGACTCTTGCATGATTCTTTATATGGATATGAATATCATTCAACGAGTCCAATACCCCTTGAGCATTGGGTCGATGCTCGATTTCCTCTGACCAGCAAGAGTCTAATAAAGCACGGATTGACTCGAAAACAACAGCTCGATTGGTCTTGGGAACGCCGATATCTGCTGGATCCGGAAGCACGGGTCTAATCCCATTCAACACATCTATCGCAACGTTGATATCGAGATTATGGTGTGAGAATGGTGCTCGACCAGTTCAATAGCTAGGACAAAGAACAGCTTTGTTATAATCGAAAGAAAAACACTTGGCTCACTCACTTCAAACACCGTACACCCAAATGCATAGATATCCCTCGACGTCAAGCTTCCTTGAGCCTGAGGCCAAGAAGTGGGGTTGATAAACTCTGGTGCTAGCCAACGAAGAGAACCTTGGACTGTGGCTGTATTCGCTGGGTTTAGTGATTGGGTATCCAACATTGAGAGGCCGAAATCTGCAAGGCAGCAGGTATTGGTATCGGAGATTAAGATGTTGGCCTGCAAGTGGAAAGAGTTGAATATTAGCTGAACGGCGACATATGAGGGATAACTCACTCCTTTGATATCACCATGTACAACGGGTGGATCAAGCCCGTGCAAATAGATGAGTCCTTGAGCGATTTGCATACTCTGGTGGAATCCGATAAATCTCAGGGGAAGTTTCGAGGAGTTTGAACCCAGACTCTGCTCACATGCTTCAGTTTGGTGCTGAGATCCAACGAGACGTTCCGCGCATACGAGATAGCATCACCATTGGACATCCAAGGGGAGATAATGCAAAAGCTGGGGGAAAATAGCTCGGTGTTGACACCGAGGAAGGGGAGAATATTGGGATGACGAAGTTGTCTCCATAAAAGAACTTCTTTGCTCAGTGCCTGAGAGGATTCCGAAGGGTTCGACTCATAGATCAAAGTATGCATACTAGTACGCACCTTCAATAACGTCTCTCTGTCAGATCCTTGTAGGAAGAACCGCAAAACCTTTATACAAACGCGTTGCGAGTCATTCAAGCGACCAATCCAGACATCCTGGAGCTCCTATAAGCTTTATATCGCTTTGAGAACCATCTCGCACCGCACCGCAAACCCTCCTCCGGCGACCGGGTGCTTGCTCTCACAGACCAAGCCTTTGAGAAACATCGTAGGAGGCAAAACACCATGAAGGTGATTCAAGTGTCGCATCAATTTCAAGTACTTCCTTCGGTATTGACTCTGAGAGGCATATTTTTTGTTCAAAGTATGCATGCGATCTAGTTCCTACGAGTATCGTTAAATGAGATCCAGAAACTTCAATGTAAACAACCTTACCGTCTGCAAAACTTGCATCGCAAAAGACGCTGATGCTTCGTCCAGATCCGAAAGAGCTCGGAGTTGCCTTTCGTGGACATCATCAGGTTCAGCAGTTATGAAGGAGAGAATTTGGCTTTCTGTCCGAAAGCCAGCAGTGGTTGTTGGACGCATTGAAAGCTCGAACTAAATGCTGAAGCATGGAAGCTGTGGAAACAGCGTCCAAGATCATGGTGAGCATGAATGCACCGGTCCGATTTCCGGCCACGCGTCTCTTACCAGAACTATCATCATCAACCCGTCTCAACGCGCCCAAGCATGTTCTCTTCAGAGCCTCGGTGCAACTCATATCCTAGTTCAAGTCCTCCGAGAATGAAGAAGCATACTTTTAGGAATTTGGCAAGTAGAATTTTCTTCAATTTATTATTCAAAATCGTATCTCTAATTTACCTGTCTAGGCTTTGGGATTCACTGGAGCCATGTTCGTTACTGCTTTTGCCCTGTACGCATCCAAGAAATATGTCGAAGCTAGGCGAAAGGCTGATTTGGAGATTTACGAAAAAAGTAAGTACTCTCATCGTATTATCTGTCTTTTTGTTAGTTGACGATCGTAGTAATAGTCAACCAACGATCAACTGCCAATGCCAAGTCTTCAAGCACCTCATCGGATACTGAGCTTGGGTCAAAATCCAACTTTTGAATCCGAGTCGTCATACTTTTTCTTCGATTGATTTCCGCCCAGTTATCTTCGTCATATGGTCTCAGACGTACATCGACTTATAAAATCCCCACTCATCGCTCCTTTTTTATCTTACTTTCCTACATCGACTCTTCATTCCCAACTTGTACAACACGAACCTCAAAATGTCCGCAGCATCTCAGTTTCGCGGAAATCCCACTAGCAATATCAACGCGGGAAGGAAACCCAAAACTGGTCGAGTACGGTTTTCAAGCTATTGCTTCCTTCTCGGCTCATGTTTAATTTACAGAACACTGCTATCGCTATGGGCGTCCTAGTCGCTGGTTTCACTGGTTTCTTCCTTAGTATGAAACAACGTGACGAGAAAAGGATGGCCAGTGGGAATTTACACCAATGTACGTTCGTGACCCCTGTTCTCCTTCTTCCACTAACTCAGCTCGTTCCTGCATTGACTCACCTACAGACGAACGCGTCCTCTCCACACGCCCCAGTGAATTCCGACTCAACGAGGCCCAAGCTACCGGTTCCGACACGCCTGCTCTTGCCTCCAACATCCCTCGTTCTCCAATTCGCACTCACGACGCCCAACACCATGCTCGTACCCCCGGTTGGACGGCAGATACTGAAGGCGTTCATGCCCACCATCAGCTGGGAGCGGGAGGTCATATTCATCAGCCGGCGCCGCAGAGGGAGAGGGGAGATGGGAGCGGTGCGGTGTACACGAAGAAGATTTAAGGAGTGGACGATAAAAAATAGACAGCGCAGTTGTTTCAGTGGGTCCGTTATATGTACTTGTACGATGGAATTAGAGTTTTACAGTTGACCTCGGATGAAATCTTGAACACTGCATGGAATAAATGAGATGAAATGTGCTATATCATAAAAAATTGGAGCGACGAAACAACAACACGAGTACTCCCAGAAGGTCTAGCCAGGACTCGAACCTGGGTTACGGGAAATGATATCTTTACCAGGGCATCAGGGCATCAGAATCCCGAGTGATAACCACTACACTACTGGACCATAATATACTACTCCCAAGTACATTTGGTAAGGACTTGTATCCTACAGGTAAACAGTATAAGCGCAGTGAATGTCGTTGCCTGCGAAATCAGAGAACTGTCAAGCTCTGCAAGAGCCTAACATAGCGAAGTCGCTGTATGGACGTAGTGTTCTTACAGAGCATGACACTCCCTGACTGTCAGAGATATTCACAACTTTCAACGTTTCAGCGCCAGTCCTCAAATGCAATCCTACCAGCACTTTGAGTAGACTGCTAACTGAATCCAGAAAAACCTGTTCCATTAAGTAGTTTCATGGCTATGTCGAAATATCTCGATGTCTGCAAACCAGGACGCTTCTCGTGAGATACAAGTACGAGTTCAACATTACATCCACTGGGACTTGATGTTCGAACGAAAGTCGCCCAAGTCTGAAGACTTCATAGAGGAAGCAACACTGTCATGAAATCAAGTCCGAGGTGCGTAGCCACTTCCGTCAAAACTTTGTAAAAAGAAACTGGTATGAATCCTGTTTGCGACTTGTAGGAGGTGAAAACGTCGTTGCCAGGATAAACCATCATTGTAATCTCGCAGGAAGAGGTGTTTCCAAAGAGCACCGTCTGAGCGGACAGTGGGGCGTAGGCTGAGCGCCTAGCGCAAGGGACAGATGTCGGTGAGTGAGGAGTAGCGCAGAACAGCTCGTTGCTGCTTGCCCAGTGAACGATCTTTGTCATCGTAAACTACAGTATCTAGACTGTGAGCGGTCAAAACTTTGAAATGCGAAGAGCTAGTCACCTTCAACGTAGTGACATCTAATGAGAAGTATAGGACAGGTCGCTGCTGCTGTTTCTGGCTGTAATAGCCGATGCGTTTCTTTGTGTCCCTAATCTGAACATTCAATAATCAGTCATGGTAGGAAAAAATGAAAGAAGCATATGGGTTTCCTAGTAGTATATCGCTTAGGACAATCGCGAAGAACCTAAAGAGATGGAGGGAATCGATGCGAGTGATGTTCATACCCAGAGCAAGTTAGACTTCGAAAGGTAGTAAGTAGGAGCATGAGGGAGAAAGTAGTAAGTGTGAATGGGTGAGTTCGGATTGAAGCGCCACCCTTTATACGCCAAAGACCACAGAATTTCTGTCGAAAGGAGCAAGTAAAAAATATATATGACAAGAGGTCATTCTGGCAGTCACTGAAGACCAGAACTCTGCCCTGGCACTGTAGGCCTGTAATCTCTCGTGTCATCCACGTAGCTGTACATATTATTGGCGGTGTGAGCGAGCACGCACTCAGTCTACTGTCTGAGTAGTCTACCGGTGAGATCTCAGATGCTCTTACAACTCCTGATTGACAAAGAATGATAGATTTATCCAGTTACACAAGAATAATAAGATGCATGATTGTCAGGTAGTAGTGGTACAATAACTTGAGCGGTGAGATCAGAAATTTCATAGGACAGATCCACTGCTTTCCGGCATTCCTTTCATTGCCTACACACCGCAGACATCAGAGAGCTAATCGCAGTGTGTTTGGAGCATGCCGGATTCGAGCCTATGTGACAATTAGTGTATTGAATAACATTGGCACTGTCGACTAAAACAGTCTGCATACAATGATATTTCATCTGCCCCAATAAATAAGCTGCATTGTGTGTGTATTAATATGTAAATTCAGCATGAGTGATTTGTTTCTGAGAACTTACCACTCAGGTGGCAGCGTGGATGCTCCACGCGTGTCCACAGTTGGAGCAGCTCTGTCCAGTGCCCTGAGTACCAGTGTAACCGGTGCATCCGCAGGTTGAGGCGCCGCACTTCCCATTGCCAGGCTTAATTATAATCGGACCATCGGTGGCGGCAGACTGAGTGGTTCCGGTGTTAGAGGCAGACTGAGTAGTTTCAGTGTTAGACATTGTTGGTTCGAGTAAGATTGGAGAGGATTGTAGTAGACTTAGGAGAGAATGATAGAAGAAAGGGAAATTGTTCCCTGTTATATAGAGGCTGCAGAATAGACGCTTACTGTCGCTTAGACTCTGGAACTGTGCACATACTCTATAAGCGCTAGTAGAAGGCTAGAGGCACTTCTTCGCGCTCCGTGAGGTTCTGGTGTGTCGGATTCTTAGTGTATGCGCCCCATTTCAGGTGTCAGTATGGAGTCAAGTGTTACTGAGCAAGTTGGTATCATTTACATTGAGGGCCTGTTATCATTCAATAAGGATTCAATCTTGGTATATACTTATGAAAATGTGGAAGCTCGGAGCATGGGAATGATACAAACTTGCTTAGTACTATTTCAGTGCAATGCGCATACAAGCGCCTCGAGTTGGGTATGTTTGATGTTGATTGAGCTCCGTAGGGCTCTAGCGATTTTTGTGTCATTTTTAGTGTATGAAGTCCATTCCGGGTGTCAAGCTTTACTGAGCAAGCTGCAACCACTTATATTGGAGTGCGGGAGCGATTTCAATGACCTTTGGTAGGACCCCCAATAATCAGAGAGGAACATAGATCCAATGATTCGGTAAAAAACCGGTCAGAAGTACGAAAATATAGGATCCAAATTGCACAGGAAAGCTCAAAAAACACATTGCAATAAGGACCTCCTCTGATGCCTCTTTTAGGGATCCGCACCGTACAAATACAGGCCCTCTTTCCTTCCAACTTTTTTTTTTTTTGATCATTCAAGAAATTATATCGAATCAATTTAAAGACTACGTAGTATAGTACCTACTGATAATGCGCGACGTTGACTTCGCTAAGAAGCATGAGGATGAGAACTACTAGAACCATTCAATCAATCGAGCTCCAACATTCTTCCCTTCTGGATAGGCGCTTAGGTTCATAAGTAGTAAGTATGTTTGAAGTTTAATGAGCTATGTCGCCGGGCTCTAGTGACGATGTTCTATTGTTGGTGTATGAGGTCCATTTCAGGTGTCAATACTCACAACTTAGATTGGTCGCCTAGAACATGTGCGAGCGATTTTAGTCATTCTGTCATCGGACCTCTGGCGCCCCTTTCTATTCAACTTTTTCTAACCATTCAAAGGCTGAGCAATACCGAAAAAAGATGGAAGCAGCTTCGGATTAAATCAAAGTATCCATTCCCCTTCTGACGCATATGTCATCAGCCCTTCAATCCGAGGCCCAGGAGAAAGCGGTAAAAGCAGCAATATGACATTCGTTAAGCAGAAAAAGATCCATGAATAGAAAGAATCTATGTTAATGTGCCTCCCGCAATCCATGGAACGTAGAAAGAATGTCAGTGGAAAGGGCCAAGCAAACTTATTCCAAACGGCAGGAGGTTCGGAATGGAAGGAAGATGGTTCAGTACTCAATGGCCGTTCCAGGTTTACGGTACCAAAAACAATTCTTGGATTATGCTAAAAGAATAGGTTGGATACAGAGCAGCGCCAGAGGTCATTGAAATCGCTCCCGCATGTTCCAGGCCACCAATCTATACTGTGGATATGGACATCTGAATGGACTTCATGTACTAACAATGGCGACATAGCTCAATTAACATCAAACATACTACTACTTACGAACCTAAGCGCCTATCCAGAAGGGAAGAATGTTGGAATTGGATTGGTTGAATGGTTCTAGTAGTTCTGATTCTCATGCTTCTTAGTGAAGTCATTGTCGCGCATTATCAGTAGCCTACAGTAGGTACTATACTACGTAGTCTCTAAATTGATTCGATTTAATTTTTTGAATAATCAAAAAAAACGTTGGATAGAAAGAGGCGCCAGAGGAGGACCCCAGATAAGTAATCAGGAGGAACATAGATCGTAACTTGAACTTGGTCTAAAATGATGATTTTTACCGAGATTTATTTTAATTATTTTATTGCAATGTGTTTTTTGAGCTTTCCTGTGCAATTTGGATCCTATATTTTCGTACTTTTGACCGGTTTTTTACCGAATCATTGGATCTATGTTCCTCTCTGATTATTGGGGGTCCTACCAAAGGTCATTGAAATCGCTCCCGCACTCCAATATAAGTGATTGCAGCTTGCTCAGTAGAGCTTGACACCCGGAATGGACTTCATACACTAAAAATGACACAAAAATCGCTAGAGCCCTACGGAGCTCAATCAACATCAAACATACTCAACTAGAGGCGCTTGTATGCGCATTGCATTGAGATAGTACTAAGCAAGTTTGTATCATTCTCATGCTCCGAGCTTCCACATTGTCATAAGTATATACATACCAAGATTGAATCCTTATTGAATGATAACAGGCCCTCAATGTGATACCAACCTGCTCAGTAACACTTGACTCCATACTGACACCTGAAATGGGGCGCATACACTAATCCGACACACCAGAACCTCACGGAGCGCGAAGAAGTGCCTCTAGCCTTCTACTAGCGCTTATAGAGTATGTGCACACTTCCAGAGTCGACAGTAAGCGTCTATTCTGCAGCCTCTATATAACAGGGAACAATTTCCCCTTCTTCTATCATTCTCTCCTAAGTCTACTACAATCCTCTCCAATCTTACTCGAACCAACAATGTCTAACACTGAAACTACTCAGTCTGCCTCTAACACCGGAACTACTCAGTCTGCCACCACCGATGGTCCGATTATAATTAAGCCTGGCAATGGGAAGTGCGGCGCCTCAACCTGCGGATGCACCGGTTACACTGGTACCCAGGGCACTGGACAGAGCTGCTCCAACTGTGGACACGCGTGGAGCATCCACGCTGCCACCTGAGTGGTAAGTTCTCAAAAAAAAAAATCACTCATGCTGAATTTACATATTAATACACACACAATGCAGCTTATTTATTGGGGCAGATGAAATATCATTGTATGCAGACTGTTTTAGTCGACAGTGCCAATGTTATTCAATACACTAATTGTCACATAGGCTCGAATCTGGCATGCTCCAAACACACTGCGATTAGCTCTCTGATGTCTGCGGTGTGTAGGCAATGAAAGGAATGCCGGAAAGCAGTGGATCTGTCCTATGAAATTTCTGATCTCATTGCTCAAGTTATTTGTACCACTACTACCTGACTAT